AAGTGTATTGCTAACATTTCCTTTCCTTTGAAGAAAAATGAAAAGAAAAAGATGCTTTATTAACTGCCTCATCTAGATGCACCTATTTAATAGGACATGTACTTTCTGCTTTCATTTCAAAGCGTAGTCCTTGGATTACAGTAGCAAACAGTTTGCAGAGTCATACTTCCTTGCTTATGTTTATTTCCACTCGGGGATCCTACAACTGTGGATACAGTAGCACATTACAACAAGCCCAGCACATAGAGTACATGTTGCATGTGACTTCAGGTTTACTCTTAATGCACATAGTAGCAAGAGTTATATATATATGATTTTTTGAAATAACATTTTAATTTAAAAATTGTATATTTAATTCCAGATAAAGTCTAGAAGATTATCTTTTCTCTTTTACTTACCCGGTATACTTAATAGTGAACAAATAAGTCAAAGACAAATGACTTCCCCCCCACCCCCCATGAGGCTTTTAGGCAATTGTGAGAGGTGGAGCTTCGAGAAGGAGCCATTATCACCTTTTTTTTTTTTTTGGTCTTTTTGAGACAGGATCTCCCAGTAGCCCCAGCTGTCCTGGAACTCATGTAGACCAGGCTGGCCTTGAACTCACAGAGATCCTCCTGCCTCTGCCTCCCTAGTGTTAGGATTAAAGGTATGCGCCACCACACCTGGCTCCATTATCACTTTTAACTTAAATATGGCACTGTTCCTAAAATAGAATGACTTGTAAAATAGAATGATCTTAACATTTTCATGTGGCAGAGAGCAATTGTCCACTCTAAAGGTAACCAAGTAAGCCTGGAGAAGCTCCATAGTGCTGTGTAAGGAACAGTGAGAACAGAGTGAGCCCTTTCTCCATCTCTGGGTTCACACTGTGCTTCTGATATTGACTTCTAGCCTGTTGCCCATACATTGTCCTTTTTGTCTTTTTTTGAAATGTGGTTTCTCTGGAGCCCCAGCTGGCCTGGAACTTGCTATGTTGACCAGGCTAGTCTTGAACTCATAGAGATCCACCTGCCTCTGCCTCCCAAGTGCTGGGATGAAAGGCATAGGCATGCACCACCACGCCCAGCTCATACATTGTATTTTATGAAGGGGATTTCTTTTCACCTTCCTGGAAAAACTGGACTGACTTAGAGAAATTGGACTTTTTAGAAGCTTGATATCTTTATGTCCACAAACCCATCTACCATAAACTCTAGCCTATTCTCTCTAACCCCTCTTACTTACTTTAAGGGTTCTCTGATTTGGCATCCTCTCAGGGTAGGGAGTCTGCAAATGTTGCAGAAGCAGTTAGCAATGAATACCAAGACTAAAACTATAAATTCTACTGGATAAAGCCATCCTTATCACACCCGAGAAATACCCTTCTTTCCAAATCTTCTGAGCAGTGCAGCTCCCCACCCCCATCCCCTAGCAGGCCTTATCTTTGTATTTCCCTATAAAGAGGTTCACTTGTCTCTTCTAGCATAAACATAGTGGACATTCTGTGTTATCTTTCAGTATAGAGTCTCACAGATTGCCACCTGAACTGTGATGTTATGTTGTAGCAGCATGACATTAGTCACCAGACAATGACCTGTCTAGTCAGTGATTCTTTGAAAGAAGTATGTGACACATGCGCTCACTTGAAAGCATGTGCTTCAAGCCTCTAAGACCATTTAGTTTGCTTCATTTGAAAAGAGAAGAGTCCATAGTCTCCCCACTGCTTCCCATTTTTTGCTCAGGGTAACACTCTCCTAATGCCCATGATGGTGATACAGGAACACACCACTTGCGAGGTAGTGCTGTTAAGGAGGCAGAGACAACAGATGAGAGAGGCCTTCTACCTACAGACAGCACCCTCTGTCTCCAATGACCCAGAATGTCCCATAGCTCTTTGGACCCCACTGTGCAGCAAAAGGAAACAGTGCCTGGCCAGAGGAATCCCCTGGGAGGGGACGGGGACTATTGTGGTGCTAGCACTGCCTTTCTGTCTCATGTGGGCTTGGCTGTTGGGTTGAGAGAGAAATGGAGCAGAAAGGCAAAGCAGTGGGTTTGTTTCTCTCTTCCAGCCCTAGGCAAAAGGTGGTGTACCACCCTTTACCTCCAGACACAAAGGGACTGGCTCTGGGAGTCAGCCTCAGCATCGGGAATTTTGGTTCTCCCCCTAAAATATCTGAGGGGAGTGGGGAACATCAGTATGCTCCTCCTTTATGCTGAATTTTAATGTCATTAAGGCCTTTTGCTCATGAAATCAAGCCAAATATATATTCAAAACCTTGTCTGCCATAGCAAGAAATAAGATGAAACAAGAATGGGGATATGATTCAAGACAGGGCATCATTACTGTTGGAGGATGGTATTTAGGTTGCTTCTGAAGTCATCCCTGAGCAGAGGTACCGAGACATCAGCCAGCTCTGCAGCCTCAGCATCCAGTCAGTTTCTGAACCACGCTCAGAAGCAGTTCTTGTTGGGTGGCTTTATCAAATTGTTATTAAGCTTTTTGAGCTAGTGTGACTGCTTCTCATATGCTGGGTTCAGGCAGAGATGCTAAAACAAGGGCATAGTCCTTCCATCAGCTGTTTCCATGTCTGCTCTTGAATGGCCTAGACCCAGAGGCCTCCAGATTAGTTCTAAAATGGAAGGTTCCATCAGAAAAGGAAAACCAGAGATTCCTTAAAATTAGTTGTCATCACTTACCTGGCAGAAGAGATACCACAATCCTGAAGGTAGTTTTCCCAGGGTAAGGCTCATCCATTGCATTCTGGGTGCGCTGACCCTTGCAAGTTCCCCAAATGTGGAAACTCAGCTGTGTGATTTATAGTAGTTGGGGAGTGCATTTTAAAAAATTATTGTCATTTAGTGTTTCCATTCAAACTTTGATTTCATAAATGTCCTTGAATAATTTCTTGACATAATAAAAAACAATCATATAGATGTAGAAAAATTAAATCCCTTTTGGTAAAATCTGCCCAGGTGCTTGACATGTGTTATTGCTGCCTACAAATGATATAGCAGGTGATCAGTGGAAGTGTTCTGCCTCAGAGTGGCATGTTGACCCCTGCAGCAGGACATGGTTACCATCTTTGCAGACCTTGTCCCAAGCCTTCATGCTAGCCTGTGGACACCTGCAGATCCTGCATTGATAGTGGCAGCATGCAGACCTAAATGCAAACATGTGGGAAAGACAGTCTGATTTGAAAACCAAATCAAAGGCATAATCTGGATTATAAATTCATGTTCAAAGTATTCAGCCGGCTAAACCCAATATTAGCTCCTTTCACAGGTAAATACAAGAAAGTATCAAAGTTTACAAACTGTTCTTCCTTGCTTCTGAAGAAAGCTTGGCATTTGTTGAATAGGTGGATTTTGAGTACACGTCTGTGTAAATGGAGAAGCCACATGTGAAGCAATCCATTAATCAAAGAGCTTCTGAAGAGTAAAGCAGCTTAACCTATTGTTTCTGTTTTAAATAGGATTCAATTTTTGTCTGATTACTGAATGTTCGACAGATGTCATTTGCTCTGGGTGGCACTCTGCTCAGGTAGCCCAGGTGTTCAGCTCAGGTGACACACATCCAGCTGAGGGCTTAGGCTCTGGAACAAGAAATGTCTCCAAGTCATTATACTAGTTAATAGCAACGAGGTGGAAGCTTTTCTAAACTACCTGAGCTTATCTTTTTTGTTTTGTTTCCTTTTTTGCTTTTGGTTTGGGGTTTGGGGATTTTTTGTTGTTGTTGTTCCATTTTGGTTTGGTTTTTGAGACAGGGTCTCCCTGTAGCCCCAGCTGGCCTAGAATTCAATATGGAGACCATACCAGGCTGGCCTTGATTTTACAGATTGGGGTTAAAGGTATGTGCCACCATGCCCAGCTCTGAGCTTATCTTTTGAATAAATGTTACTGTCTTACCCAAAACTATTTCATGTGTTCCTAGAAAGGGGACTGTCATTTCATTTTGAAAAGCTTGAGCTATTTTTTAAGCGCATATCATAATGGTCTTCATACAAATTGAAATACTTTTTTTTAAAAGCACTGCTACTTGGTAACTGCAAAGTTTACATCTCATAAGGGAGATTTTATACTGAACTTGACAACTAGCTGATTTCATTGCTAGTCTTTGAACAATATAAAAATATCAAGTTTTGCTGTGCTGTGGGAAGGCATTTATATTCAAAATCATTTTTGCCTGTTAATTTTATGCCTACCCTGGAGCATTTCACAGACAACTCCCTTAAGGCTTCCACTGTGGCCTCCCTGGCTGTTTATCCTCTTGGGCACAATTTGTTTTGCCACTGGGTTGCCATGACAACCCTCGGTCACCATCAAACTCAGCTGGTGAGTTCTCTAGGGAAGAGCATCAGTGGCCCACACTGGCTCAGTGGCAATCACCTGAAATAAGGGCAGCCCACCCCTGGAGAAGGGTGACTAGCAACCAGCAGGGGACATCAATGGGGTCACTCCTTACAGGTCTTTAGCCTCATCTGCTCTGTAGATAGCACTTGGGCCTATGGTATTGCTTTGCATTTGAACAGCTACCTCCTAGGTGGAGGCTGATGTTTTAACAGACCACCTCAGCCAGATGACTTTTGCTGCCTATGGAATTCTGCAAGGAAAAATCAGCATTTTGAGTTTTATGTGGTTATAGCTTTTTCTTGTATACAAAAGTAGTTTCTTAAAGGCTATGGTAAGAGTTTGCTGTGACAGAATCTTGAACCACAAGCTATGATAGAATCCCAGATCATAAAGCCTGAGATACATGAGCTCGTTTATTTTTTAAAAATGTGTCTACTTAGATACATTGTTTTGGAAATGCCAGACTCACAGCCACCCCAGCCTGCATTCATCTCTGTGCTTCTTACCTGCCGTGTTCAGAAACCACCATCTTATATGTGTATTTGTTGAAAATGAGTCCAGCACCCATTTGACTTAATCTTTTTTTAGTGCTATAAAAATAATCAGTTCATTTCATCTTTAAGTCTTTTCTTTTTTACTGCTGTCATTTCTTGTGCTTGTTTTTTCCCCAGTGAGGGTTGTCGAAGAGAAAATACAATGAAGAATGTTGGAAGTCGCAAATATGCATTTAATTCCCTGCAGCTGAAGGCTTTCCCCAAGCATTACAGGCCTCCCGAAGGGACTTACGGAAAAGTTGAAACATGAACACACGGTTTCCTCTAATTAGCTGTTATGTGATAAATGTGGGTACCCTCTAGTGTCATATACGAATTCTTCAAGAAGACCTGAAGGATTGATTTTTATTTTTGTGTTTTAAATACTTCACTAAAGAGTCTGTGGAGCATGTTTTTCTGTTGGAATCCATAGGAGGTAATGTGTGGCCAGATAGTGTGGATAGTCATGGCTACCCTTTGCAATAGCTTTTAGCTGTAACTATACAGCTAATGTTGTAGCTCCTATCAGAAGTCAGCTAGGTTTGTCTGAAATGCCAGGAGACATTTCCAAACACCCATTTAGGCACTGCTCACCCCACTTATTTTTCTACTCAGCAACTCAAAAGTGAGCATTGGCTTAAAATCTAATTTTAAAAGTGTGGTTGTAAAACAGTAAATCATTAAACTGTTGAGTCATAGGCAGACCGATACATGTTAAGTCTTGGGGGAAGAAGTTAGCACTTTCATGCAGTGAGAGCAGCTGGTTCTAATGAATCCCGAAGGCCACTACTATCTGTGAAACCCAAAGAAACAGGAAACTCTGGCTGCCCATCCTCAGACAGCATTCCAGGAGCTCATGCAGGGGCCACATTTCTTTCTACCCCTCATGAGTTATTGAACACAATGTCTGAGATGGAAAACCAGCTGTGAGGTCCCCGGACTCTGCCTCCTCTTAAGCTCCATGTTTAGATTCCACCACACCACAGGGCATGTCTCAGTTTCTTCTCTGGTAATCAGGACCTTAAATGTGGCATGTCTGATGTCTGAAAGGCAGCTCTCCAGTGGAGGATTTGTGGATGTGGAGAGCGTGGAAACCTAAAGATGTTCAGAACCAATGTTCTTCTGTGAGATTTCCAATAGATCTTCTAGAGGACAATGCAATCATGTTTGAATGTCTGAAGAAAGTGTCTTTTAGGTTTGCAATAATTGTTACTTTTCTCATTCTGTTATATGACTATTGAGAACAAAATTATCTCTTCTAGTGAGATTTTGAAAGGGATTTATGGGCCAGGAAACTTAGAAATTTCATTGAAAATTTAGTCTGGTCATCTTTTATAAGGTGATGATGGGTCTTATCTGCACATAGCAGAGTTTTTTTTCCTTAGGGATTTATATGTTTTATAAATTCTGTTTGTCATAATTCTGTTTACATGTTACTTGAAAGGTTATAAAAGATGTGTATGTGGCACATAATGATGATGTGGTCCCACTGATTTGTGATTAATTTTCTTTTGAATCCTTTAGAAACATAAGAAACTTGGGTCGGGGACACTAAGGTACAGGCAGGGCCAGACCTGGGCCTGGACAGGGAGGGTGCAGGCATCAGTAGGGATGGAAATGGGTATCCTTTCAGATCCCTTTCCACCATCCTGTAGATAACCTGCTGTCTCCTGCTGTCTGCTGGAGGAGGGTGCAGTCTGTGAGGGGTGGTGGTGGCTCACTGCCCTGCCCTCAAGGCAGGGTACACTGTGGCAGGCCATGGCAGAGAAGCACTTGTCCACCCAGCCCTCCACACAGGTGGCTGCTCTGCTGGTGTCATAGTCTCCTCCTGAAGCTCCAGGCAGTCCCTTTCAAAGCCCATTAGGTCTCAGTATGGCTGACTAAGCCTTTTGCCCCTTCATCATTTCATTTACTTCCTAAGTTTTCAGTTTTGTCTTATTTTGACATCACTGACTTTAAAACTGTTTTCTTCAGCTTTTAAAATTAGATGTTTTCCATGACTTCCATCCAAAGGACATTACCTACCTGCATTTGTAAAGGGAATGGAGCAATCGCTGGCTCATCTGTCAGCCGTTTTGCATGTGGCACCCTTACATGAATTATTTTCTCAGCTTTTGTTTTATATTATGAATCACCATAAAATTCTAAGACTTGGCTAATCACAGAAAAGGTTGCAGCTTCAGTGGTCTCTCTGAAGGCATTCTGACTGGCTCCTAGAGTATCACACGTCCCAGGCTTGCTGGGAAGGGGCACCTTGCACAGTCATGGGCGCAGGAGCTCCTGGCAGCATGGAGGAGGCTGAGTTGTTTGCTGCACGAGGAAGGAGATTTTACAGGTTACCATAGAATGGAGGAGGTTCTGTTCAGTGTTTGCCCCCGTTTAAAAAGAAACGTTGAGGTATCTGGACAGCCAGGACCGTCATGTGGATCTGGCAGAGCTCCTGCAGCACAGTTGCCTTTTGTTTCCTTTAAAGATGTAAAAATATTGTATAGTACTGTTTTATCCCCCACATAATTGTATTTGCCAAGCTTAGTGCATTAAAATACTTTTATTTATTTGTTTGGGGCAGTATTAATATATATGAACATATAGTTACTGTTTTATATATTCTCAGCTCATTCAAAGCCATGTATGCTGTAAATGTGCTAGTCTTTAGAATGGTAAATAATAAATAACTGATAAGAACATTAACCTTGGTCTTGCTTGATTCATTTTCCTATATTAGAGGGAAGTTTACAGCCAGCATCTGACTGGCCCATTACATCACTGGGCATCACAATGCACACCAGGTGTTGAATTCATAGGATTATAAACCCAGGACCACAAGAGACTAATGTCTTTTTAATCTTGTTTTCAATTAATTCCTATCCAAGAAACAACAGGGTGTGTAGGTTGAGCATGAGCACCAGCATCCCCGAGTCCCAGCCCAGTTCTGCCACTCATAGGCTAGTGACTTGAGCAAGTTGCTGGACCTCTCTGAGTTTGTTTGCACATGTACAAAGCATGCACAGTGGTGAGTTCCTCATAAGCAGTTGTGAGGCACCTGGGCAATAAGTGTTCATAAATGTTTATTGTTTCCTCTCTGCACATAACTGTGGCTTACATCATCTCTGGGAAGCTGACTGTGGCATGGTCTCCTTAGGTTTCCTTCATAGCTGTTTTGCTCACATCAGCACTGGGTGCTGCATCTCTGCACTGCCTTCAAGACACACATGTCAGCAATCTCCCTTGGAGAGTCCTGACAGTGGAAATGAACATTAAACAAGAACTTAAGCATTTGTAGCTTTCTGAACTTTTACTGTTGCCACAATGTTCCCTGAAGTTTAAGCTACTACTTGCAGCCCAGGCTTCTGTGTGTTCTCCTCACTGACGTTGGGAATGATCTGTTTCCATTTCTTTGAGTCTCTGTGAACATCAAAAATTGTTTATGCCTGTATTGATGTTTGTGTTTTATGAATTAATTGGAGTACTGATCTTTAACATACATTATATTAATTCCTCTGTCACATTAACAGTTTTGTTTGTTTTGGGGTTTGTTTGGTTTTTTTGTTTTGTTTTGTTTTACCTCACCATCTAGATCAAGCAGGCCCTCAATTTCACAGAGATCCATCTGCCTCTGCCTCCCAAGTACTGGGATTAAAGGTGTGTGCCACTATGCTCAGCCCCACATGTTGCAGATTTTTAAGAGCTGTTAGCTGTTTTTTGACTTCATTTATGGTAGGGGATCTACAGAAATTTTAAACATTTCTGTAATTGAATATACCTGTGTCTGTCCACTTGATGTTTATTCTGAAATCAAATTTGGGCTTTATCACTGTGGGTGATAGAAATGGGGGAGCTGTGTGGGACACAGATGAGGCAACCATGTCCTTGTCCCTGCAGCAGGATGACAGAGTGCGTATGTTGAGGGCTGGACTCAGACGCTCTCTGCTTCTGGTGTTTGCTTTGGTTTTCTTGTTCAGGGGTTTGGTTTGGTAGTGGTGTTATTGTTCCAATAGTCGCCTGTTCCTATTTGTAGTGTTTTTATCATTTCTTTTTTTTTTCCTTATATGTATGCATGTTCACCTGGGTGTGGGTGTGTGTCAGAGTGCGTGTGAACCTGGGTGCCTGTGCATTTGGAGGTCAGGGGCTTGTGTTGGGCATCTTCCTCCATTTTTCTCTTATTTATTGAAGCAGGGTCTCTCACTGAACCCAGAACTTGCTCATCCCAGTTAGTCTCACTATCCAGCTTGCTCCAGGGATCCCGTCTCCATCTCCTGGGATCACAGGCAGCTGCCATGCCTGCCCAGGTTTTTATGTGGGTCCTGTGGATCCAAACTCTGGTCTTCACACTTGCATGGCAAGTGCTTTATCCCCTGGGCCATCTCTCTAGCCCTGTCATTTTGCTTTTACATTAAGACCAATTCGTCTAGAATTATTTTGGAATAAAGTCATGTACTGAGAGTTCAGACTCCTAGCACTCATGTAAAGCTGGGTGCAGTGGTGTGAATCTACAACTCCAGCACCGTGAAGTTCAAGTTCAGTGAGAAGACAGATCTTTCTTTCTCATAAATAAGGTGGAGAGCAACAAAGGAAGGTATATGATATCGAATTCTTGCCTCCACATAGGTACACACACATGTTCACACATACACAGACCGTATGCACAATACAAAAACAAAATCACAGAGGAGACATGTTGCGACACCTATGTCTCAGCCACGGCTTTCTCCTGCCTTTGCTAGGGCATCCAGATATTACTCTGGTTTCCTTTTCAGCCTCTGCTTAGCAGATGAGTTGGTGAAGTCCAGCTACCCGGGACTAGAAGAGTCACCCAGTGGGAGTGCCTAGAAGAAGCTTTGCCCTAGAAGAAGCTAAGATTGGCTGGAGGGTGGAGCTTCCCTGTTTGTCTCATAAACTGGGTCTCTCTGGTGGCCAGTGCAACTTACTGTGTCACCCTAAAATGACTGCTGGCATCTCTGTCTCTTCTCAGGGTGAAAGAGAAAAGCTTTTCAGTGTGGGGAGTGGGCCTGGCTGCATGATTGCATGGTGCATGTCTTGTGCTCCTAGGATGGCCCCTTCTCGGACTAGCACCTTCTCTTATCACACAAACGAGCCTTTAAATGCTCCATGCGGAGAAAAACAAGCTTAGTATCTCTTGTCTTTTTTTTCCTTTTCTCCCAAACTGTCTTTCTCATAAGCACCCCTGTGAAGAGATGATTTTTCAGGAAATTGTAGCAGGAGTATGGTTTAGCTGCTTAAAACGCCCTTTCCAGAAGCTCACAGCTCCCCAGGAGTCCTGTACAGTCCTGGCAGCTGAGGGAACAGAGAGGGGACATAGGAGTGAGCAACTGTGTAGCCCGTTCTCAAATGGCTGCTGAGGCTTCCTGGAGGGAGGAGTAGAGCTGCTTATTGGGCTCTGTGGTTATCTTTTTTAAAATTACATTTTTTAATTGTATGGAGTGTGCATGCCACATGTCAGGACTACTTGCAGGAGTTGGTTCTCGCCTACTAAGTGGGTCTTGGGATTGAACTCAGGTTATCCTATGTGACAGCAAGCACTTTTTACTTGCTGAGCCATCTCACTAGCCCTGTTTTTAACATTCGTCTCAAGGCCCTAAATATTTCCCAAAGTGGAAAGTATTCACATTGTTGGTGCTTAATGACTCAGTATTTGAGAACAGTAAGGAAGACAGAAAAACTTGCTGGTTTTTTAAAGAGGAAAATGAAAAGATGTTAAGCTTTTTCATTCCCATGAGCACCAAGCAACATGGGCTGTGGCCAGATAAAAATGATCTGTAGCGATAGAAACTTCTGTTTATGAGGCTGCCTGCTTCCAGTGGGATCCTTGGAAGAAAAGTGGTCCTGGGCATGATTAAACACCTGTGGGTGCCAGTGCCAATTACAGTGGACAATCAGCCCCATGATCACTGTAACCCTTGTTTGGAAGCCAGTGAGTAGTTTTAGCTGGGAGGACAAGTGGGGCTACACTATGGTCTGGATTGACAGATCCTCTCAGCTTGCACAGGGGCTCCTCTGCTACCATGCACCACTAGGGAAGCTTCTCCATCCCTGAGCTACATTCTACAGCCTGGGATACCGTCATCAGAATGCCTTCCATCTGTGCTGACATTTGGTAAGTGGGTAATAACTTTGTCTATTTTTATTGGCTGTCATAGCTTAAGTTAGGACATAGGTCCCCGGGGGTGTAGGACAAGAATATTCATAATCTCTAAATTCCTCCTTCCCTTGGCTCCTTTATGGGCCTCAGAGCAATCTACGTGATGATTCCTCAAAGCCCAATCCTGGCATGTATGTGACACCCATCTACCACTTAAAGCAGAAATGCTGATGAAACAGGCCGGAGAGCAGAAAACAGGCTTATGTTTCATGTTTAGGAGGAAAACACCCATAAGATAGCTGTGGACACCACTCTTCACCACTGCCACCTCCTGGTCTCTGCCCATTTCTTGCGCTCCCGAGGCCACTGCTTTTCTCTTCTGGTTGTCCTACCTCTCTGACCATCTATTCTCACTCAGATTCGCCTGTTATTTTCCAGCTGCTGCTGATTTCGTGATCTTTCCCAGGGTTCCCTCTGTAACTTTCTTGGTGCTCAGGAGCCAGTTCTGTGGAATCATGACCTCCTATATGCTAATGATTTCTACCTTTCTAGGTCCATCCCAGACCCTCTGACAGTCCACATCCCTCTGTATCTCCAACGTGATCTCATCATTCTTGAGTGCTGAGTCAGTCTTCCCCAAGCTGGTCTGAGGAATGAATGATCACCCCACTTTCTATTCTGGGTTGATCTTTTCCAAGTACTAATAATCCACTCCAGCATTCCAGACTCCCTGAACCTTTGATTCTCTTCACCAATAGTAAACTAAGGGATAGCAGACACTTCCAGCCCATTCGTACTAGGCTATCTTTTCATCCATATTTTGGCTAACCAGTCAGATAAACTGTTAAAAATACCTAAATATTTATTTTTGTGTTTGTGTGTGTGTGTGTGTGTGTGTGTGTGTCTGTGTATGTGCACTTGAGTGAGCGTTGGTGCCCTTGGAGGCCAGAGGAATTGGATCCCCCTGGAACTAGACTTACAGGCAGTTGTAAACAACCCAGCATGGGTGCTGGAAATCAAATTCAGGTCCTCTGGACCTGTTCTTAACTACTGAGCTATCTCTCCAGCTCCCAGTACTTTTTAAAAACTGAAAATACAACATTAAACCCATAATCTCTACTTATGGACCCTTATTGATAAATTCAGCCTGACCTAGTTTTAGGTTCCTTCTACCATTATACTACACCCTTAAATTCCATTCCCATCCATATTTGTACAACCTCTGCTCTCATGAATGAGAAAACTCGGGAAGTTCTTCAGGAGTATAGTGCATCTCCTCTTGGGTCACCCTGGGTACCTTAGCTTCAGGGACCTGCTGAGACTTGAATCTGCTTATCCAGGCAAAAATGTGTAGTGAGGGTAAGTCCTGAGGGGAACCCACATTGTCCTTCTCTACAGCCTCTTCAGGGAAAGTCATTTCTATTTCCATAGACAATGCAGATAAGATCCCTCAGGCAGAGGGTAGAGGTGCTGTTCCCAGTAAGTATGGGGAAGCCACTTCCTCTGTCAAAATAAACCTATCACAATTTGAACATTCAGTATTTCCACCCTCATCAGGGTCTTCCCTGTATATTTCCACCAAGTTACAGAA